TTCCAAATCAATCAGGCATTGTTTTGGGAGGGAGACAAAACAGCAACAACACAGAAAACTGCAAAAAAAATAGATATTTTCAAAGCTTAAGTGTCTTGAAGCCTGTGAAAATTGATAAGCAAAAAATAAAAACATGCCTGCCATACACCAATTCATTTAACACAATGTTTTACCCAATTTTTGATTTTTCATGTCAATGAAGATATGGATATACATCTTTTCTCAGTAAAGCTAGCCGAAAAACAGGACAGGTTTCTGAAAATGATTAATTGGGTTTCCTGTGGCAACATTAGCCGTGACCATCAGGGAGCTTAGGGTACAGTGAATTTTTATTAAGTAACGCCTGGTAAAATTCGTGGTTTGACTGGCTGATGTCGGAAAAAACTCAAAATAAGCACAATGATTTGGGTATAACTTGATGTTTTACCTCTAAAGATAGCAAGAAAATGTCGTCTGTGTCTGTTCCAGTGTCTAGTGATTTGCCTGCTGAATGGGAGATGAGAACAACAATCAATGGACGAGTGTATTTTGCAAAGTAAGAGATGTCGTGTCCACCACAGGACGATGTTTAAACTAAAAGTGATTTACACTTCTGTATGTCAATACCTCTGTTTAGTACTAAGACAACAAAAGCTATAGAGTGACTTCATTTTACCTGTGATAAAATAGTACGCATAATAGTATTAGACTATAATGCACCTATCAATGTCTTGCTCCAACAGGGGGAGCCCAGGTATACCCAGGGGCTATTGACATCTTTGAAAAAAAATGTCAATGAGCCCTTCTTAAGGGCCATATGAAAATGTTGTTTTTTGAGAGTTTTACTCTGAAAACGAAAAAAAAGTTTCAATAAAAGCCTAGTAGCCCCTGTCATGGGCAAGGTTCTTATGTCAATAGCCCATAATGTGCCTGGGCTCTCCCCGGTGGGGCAAGACATTGATAGGAAAGTTTCTATTTAAAAGTTCAAATCTTTCAAGGTTATGGGAATGACTTCCCATTCCTCATCTGGGCACATTTCTATTTTTGCCATCTATAGATCAGACATCCACCTAGTTTTAGCAACGATTACACTTATTCACTGTCTTTTGATGAGTTCTCTACATTCCTGGAACAATTCTCAGTGGCAACAGGATCAATGCCTATAGTTGGGGATTTTAATTTTCATGTGGAAGAGTCTTCTGATAGAATTGCTCTTCAGTTAAACCTGACTCAACATGTCAGGCATGCTACAGTACATATCATGGAAAGCATGTTCTAGATCTTTTGATCACCTGAGGGCTTGTGACTTTCTTTCTTTGGCGGCTTGGAATGATGACACAAGTTGCACATGTGGATCACTACTTACTGTAATGTAGTCTTTGCTTGCCTCATTCTCGTATTTACCTAGGAACTTGTAGTAATCATCTTCCCCTAACACAGGAATGAACTAGGGTGAACACTTGAATATTGAATCCGTAATTACATAATTAATATCGTCTTACAATTCATAGTTATTCATTAGTGTAGCAAGCCAATCATGGCATGTGACATGTGACAGTGTTTTTATGTATTGATTAAAAAAAACACAAGAAACTTAAAGTCGACTCAGCTTTGATTTTTTCCAGGGGAGATGGGAGGCTGACAAAAACCCTGATGAATAAAAGATGTAGTGTTTTATGGGATTATATGAATTAAACATCAATAGTTTTAATTCACATAAAACACTAATATTTTATTATTCATTAGAGTTTTTATCCAATCCAATCTTCCCTGAAAAAAAAAAATTAGAAAAACAAAAATTCAGCACAAAATAAATGGAAATTTAACTAACCAGAAACTTAAGGATTCCGCATTCATCTCCTCTAACTCTTTACCTAGATCTTGAAAGGGCTCTTTGCCCAAGAATTTCAAACTTGATTCTTGTTTGAAAGCAATGATTTTTTACCAAGGACTCTTCAATTCTCAAAAAAATTGTGCAGCCCACTTTGTAGCATAGCTGGTACCGCATAGCTGTGGTCCTTGCTAGTACTCAGTGCTGCATTAAGGCACAAGGCCTCTTGATTTCTACTTTTAGGTTCCTTGAATCTACTCATCTTGGCGAATACCAACCAAATGCAAATTTACTTTGCAATACAAACTTTTCAATACAAAGTAACTCCCTACAGAATTATTTTTTACTGCATGAGTCGTCCTTCATGGAGCGCCAAACTCGCATGTCCCTTGAGAATAAATAAACTGCAACTCGTACAATGTTATGCCTACGAAATATCATTTTTGGTCTAAATTAACGACGCTCTCTAGCAAAGGGTTTAGTTAGATTAAATATTAAGAACAAGTATAAGTTTTCTAAGCCATTTATTGACTCAAGCCCATGTTTTATCGGCTATATATCAGCTGTTTTTTATATATTTTTACTTACACTGTAATGTTGTTTGATGTTATCAGTCATTTGTTAAAGACAACACAGTGGCAACATCCAGTGACAGGAAAACATATTATTAACAAAACAGGTAACACAATCAAATCTACACCAACCTAATATTGCAAATGAGTTGAAAAACAATATGTGGTGTGTAATAATTCATCCTAGTCAGGGGGATAAGTGAAAGTGTCTTGGCCCTGATCCAGATTTCCTGTTTTTTCCTCGATTGAGGATTTTGTGGGTTTTTTCTGGCCTTCCTGATAATATCCACTTTCTACTAAAATGACATTTTTATTGTATGACATGTCTTCGAAATCAATTTTGTTATATTTGTAATAAATAAAGCCTGAGCGTTTATCTGTCGTACTACCGGCTCAAAACTTATCCATCAGATGTACTTGAGCATTGATTGTGCACCAGTAATAATACTATTATTTAGAAATTTTTCATAGTCTAATATTTATTAATAGAAGAAAATTCTTTTAAGATCTGCCACATGAATGGAGGGAACCAGAACACAATGTCAAAAATGAGTATGTAATATGGAGACGTACAGCTGTTAAAAAAAATTGTTTAAGAATAACATCCTTTTTTCATGAGGGTAGCACTTAATAGCCAGTGGCTAGCAAACCTGTGGCCCTTATTCCGTGATCAAATTGGAATTTAGGAGTTGATTTTTGCGGAGGGAGGAAAACCGGAGAACCCGGAAAACCCTCGAAGCACAGGAGAGAACCAACAAACAACTCTACTCATATACAACACCAAACCCGGTGGGTTTGGTATTGTTTTTGAAATTGTAGTTTGTCCTATTCCAACGAGCTTGTACTCACTCATTACTGTCCAATAGTATTTTAATCCCTGATTTCAAAAAATAATTGTCACTTCAACAACACTTCCCCATCACTTTTAGTTGTTATTTGCCAGTGCATTGACCCACAACAAAACCTGAAGTACCAAAACTGTTAGGCAAGGGGTTGGCTGAACATCACTCAACACACAGCCGGTTGGCCAATACACAGTCAACACACGGCTATTAGTCAGCCAGCGCTCAGTCAACAGTTGGCCAACTATCAACCAACAGTCAGGCAATAGTCAATTGACATGTTGACTGGTCATGAAGTGCACAATTACCAAGGTGATTGATACCAAATAATTTATTATGTTATTTTGTTATTGACAGCAATACCATGTTTGGGATGACATATAGATTCAGTGAGTCATCTACTGCTATGCATGTGTTGAAAGGAACCAATCTAAAAGGACATGTGGTTGTAATAACAGGAGCCAACAGTGGCATAGGTAAAGATGGTGCTCTGGAATATTTATGCATCAGTGCAGGTTTTGGGTTTGGTTCATATGATGTGATATGATATATGAT